TGTGTCGATAACACAAATACTAATTTTGGCGGTGTAAATCGCAAAGGCGATAAAAATGTTCATAAGAAAATTATGCATTTACTTGGGAAAACGATTATTGGAATTGGTTGCAATGCCCATATTGTATCTAATGCCATCAATACAGCATCAAGCTTAATGTCCATCGATGTTGAAGTTGTGATACCTCAAATTTATTTACACTTTGAACAATTCACTATAAGAGTTACATCATTAAAGACTTTTTTTGCAAAGAAGCCTCAGTTGAATATAAAAAACTGTTGGGATATTTGAAAACAAGATGGTTAGCTTTAATGCCAACCATTGAACGAGTGCTGCAATTGTTAAAGCCTTTAAAATCATATTTTCTAAGTTTGGAAAAACGTCCACTGATCTTGAAAAACTTTTTAAAGAATGAATTTGCTGAAGTAGCTCTGTATTTTGTTCACAATCGAGCAACTTTGTTCCAGTCAGTTATAAAAAGTATTGAAAAAGAGCATATAACTTCTACAGAAGTGGAATTGCATATTTAACAATTAAAGGAGCAACTTCAATCACGTCTTGGGTCCAACTTCCTTCTATTGGTTGTAATTACTAATTTAAACAAATTACAAGAGAGCAATCCGGGAATGAAGAAAGAATTTACGAGAGAGGCGATGAGCTTTTATAAAAATGCTCTTGAATATCTAGAAAATTGGACTAAGCATGACGAACCAGTGTACGTGTTTGATTGGATTCTGCTGAATGAAGAAATTCAATGGAATAAAAATCATTGAAACAGTTTTATTCGTTAAAGAAAAATTTAGCATTAAAATAAATGACAATTTATTGTTCGACAAAGTATGAAGAATTAACAATATAATAAAAGACAATGGACTGAATGCGAAATTGATAAAAATTGATCGAGATTTTTAATTTCTTAAAAGAGCGACAAATATTGAAGTTTTTAATGTTATATGATTGTTTTTGTTAAGTCTGTTTGTCTTATAATATCGTGATCATTTATTTACATGATTATTTATATACATATACAAGTATGGGTTTTTTTTGGTCAACTCCGTGTCCTCCTCGAACATTTTCAAATTCTGGTCACCTTATTATTGGGGACGAGTATTTTAGTACACGCAGTCCCCGGGTTACGCGGATCCGACTTATGTCGGATCCGTACTTACGAACAGGGCTTTTCTTGCCCCGGAGGATGTGGGCGGCGGGGACCGCCCAGACGCGCCGCGGTCCCACCGCCCACGTCCTCCGGGGTGAGAAAAGCTGCTCCGCGTCTCCCTGGTCTGCTGGGGGGGGGGGGGGCGGCGCAG